TCCAAGACAAACCATGTTCTCCCAAGATGAGACCAACCTTGGCTCCTTCGGCTCTCAGAGACCTGAGGAGGCCGGAGGGCCCACCTTCTGCTGTGGACAGTGCGAGCTAACAGGTGGTCTGACAGCCTGCCCATAAATCAGCTCCGGCCGTCAGGTGGCCTCCCCACAGGTCAGGAGCAGCAGAGGCCGCTTGTTTCTCCTCACCTCCGAGGAAGCCACCACCACCCACCCTCGCCCCAGCCCCGCCGGGCCCACCTGGCTCCCTGAATCCGCCCCTTGTCTCCCAGCCTCCTACCCTGACCAAATGTTTACGGACACTTCCATGGTCAACCAGGACCAGGGATGATTTTTCCACTGAACCTACAGGACTGGGCCTCTTCTGGCTGGAGCACAATACTGACCTCTGTCAGGTGCTGGCAGCCATGAGGGAGCAGGCGGGGAGAGCTCCCTTAGCCCAGCCCAGCAAAGCCCTTCTCACCCAACCCCCACAAAGGGGTCAGGCCTGCTCTACACGCCAGTTCTGTCCCCTGCAGTATCTTCCCTGGGACCAAGAAAGATCCTCCCAGAGACCAGGGAGGCCCTGGAGCCCAGCCTTCATTTCCTCAGGCACGTCGCTCCCTCCTGATGGCTCCCTCCTGGCCAGTCTGGAGTCGGCTAGTGCACCAGCAAGCATCTGGGCTGTGTACCACGAAGGGCTGCATCTAATTGTGTGGAACAGCAATGCCAAGAAATGGGGGCTTCTGCACACTAGAGCTCTGGAGACGAGCAGGGAAGGTTCCATGTCCCAGACTAGTCTGTCTTCCTGTTCTGCCCAAGGGTGGCTTTTGTGCTCACAGTTACAAAATGGTGCCTCCTCCCAACTTCTTGGCCACACTCGGGCAGCAAGGTGGGGAAGTGCTAATAGCAAAAGCAGCGTGTCAGCTGTCTCTGGCCCTTTTGATCAGGGAAACAGTAATTTCCCAACACATCCCACATGGTAGATTTCCACTTCTAGCCCACCAGCCAGAAGTCACATGGCCCTGTAGTTGCAAGGGAGCAGAGAAGTCAAGTGTTTCAGCTGGGCACACTCAGAGTTCTGAGAGAGAATAGGAAGGGTGGGGCTAAACACTCAAAATCAGGTGAGAAGAGGTAGCAAAGCCCAGTTCTGGTGTCCAATCCTGTGACTTAGTGGCTGTGTGACACTGAGAACATGGCCCAGATGTAAAATAGTCATCGTGTCTATTTCACAAGGTAGCTGAGTGTTAAGTGGAAAAGTGTATGAAAAGTACCTGGAGCCCAGCAGCGTGGCTCAGTGGTTGATCACAGACCTATGAACCAGGAGATCACGGTTCAATTCCTGGTCAGGGCACATGCCCAGGTTGTGGGCTTGATTTCCAGTGGGGGGCATACAGGAGGCAGTCGATCAAAGATTCCCTCTCATCACTGAAGTTTCTATCTCTCTCCTTCTCCCTTCCTCTCTGAAATCAATAAAAATATATTTAAAGAAAAGAGTACCTGGAAACAATGCCCAGCATTAGAAGATGTTCATTAAATGGTAGGTAGTTTTTTACCACAGGCCTGCACATGATATGTGCTCAATAAATCCCTAATTGACTTATAATCAACTAAGAAACCACTACAGATAGGAAGGCAGGGAAAAGACAGGAAGAGCTTATCTAAAAGCCAGAACTGTCGCTTTCAGAAGGGGAGTGGAAGCTACCTTTGGACTTCTGCTTCAGGAAAAATATCCCCAATATAGGGGAGAGACATATAATACCAGTAATCAATAAGTGTCACGCCTATGCTGGGTGGCAGGCACCACTTAAAGCATCTTAACATTCTAATGTAAGCTTCCCAACAGCCCTTTGAGGTAAGTACTGTTATTATCCCCATTTTAATAAGGTGGTTCAGAGAGGTTAAGAAATTTGTTGAAGGTCACACAGCTTGTACATGGTGGTAGTGCTAGGATTTGAGCCAAGGACAGGCCAGAGGGATACAGGCAGCCAGGCTTCTGCCACCCCACCCCACCCCACCCCTGCTTCATAGGAAGATAACTGGGAGCCCTGCTCCAATCCCACTCCAAGAGCCCTGACAGCAGCAGAGGAGCCAGCCTCGGACTGTGGCTTTTCCCGGGACTCCCAGAGCAGCCCACCATGACCCCCATTCCCTTCTCAGCCCCGTCAGCATTCAGCCTCCTGGGTCCCACAAAGGAAGCTCACATCCCACAACTGTTTAGTCGGCTGTAATCCTAGCTAAAGTTCACTCCTTGGGAAATACAACGTGGGGGGTGGTTGCTCCTGGAATGTGTGTGGCTGAGACCCAGTGTCCCAACCCAGACAGCAGGCTCTACTAGGGCCCTGAAGAGAGCAGCAGCCAGGGGAATCCAGAGTCCCCAGCCCCCAGTTGTGCCAGAGAATGGAATGTGCTGCTCTGGGTGTTAATGTTAAAACAGACCCAGCCAAGGAAGGGGGGGCGCTGGGAGTTGGCAGAGTGGGGAGAGCTCTACCACAAGGCTGCCTCTGTTCCCCTGGAGGCTGAGCCCACTTCGTCAGGGCTGGGGGTGGGCAGGCCCCTCCCGTTAGCTCAGTGCTCAGAAGCTCCCGGAGCTAGAGGGGCAGGCAGAACAGGGGAGGCTGACAGTCAGGGCAGCTGTTCCCCAAAGTTTCTCTTATGAGGCATCTATTGGTACCTCTGGCACAATTCACATCCCGGTGCAGTGGCTTCCTAGCCATGTGAGCTGGGGCAGGTTACTTAACCTCCTCAGGGCCTCCATTTACCCATCAGTTACATGGAATAAATAACAGAACTATTTGGGGACTTTCATAACATTTACATGATAATATGCTCAGCACGTTGCCCGGCACAAGTGCTCAATGAACACAGGTATTACCGTTATCTTAGGGCCACCTGCAATAGGATAGATGCTGGAGCCAGGGCCCCTCAAAGGGGTTGCCTCCTTGAAGGTTCCATGGAGACAAGGGAATGACAGTGGAGCTTCGTTTGGCTTCAGTATCGAAGGTGATCAAGGACCACAAAGATCCTAGAAAGCATGGCCAGTATCAGGTCTCCCAGCGCCACTAGAGCCTGCTTCCCACCATTACCAACCCCCAAAAGATGCGCAGAACCCTCCAACCCAGCCAGGCGGTGGGAGCTGGCAGCCCATCGCAGGTCTGCCCAGCAGGCACCAGGGCTGTAGCGGAACCTGGCTCCTGTCCCCTCCTCCTGGGTGCTCAAGAACTGGAAGGAATCTTTTAAACAGGCAGCCAGCTCTGCAATGGACAGTCTGTCTTCCAGGCCACCCCACATTCAGCCCTCTCCACGCTGTTGACGCCGGCCAACCAATGTAAGGCACAACCCAGCCCTGATAAATCCCTCCGTGGTTTCACGGTTCCTGTCCTTTAAAGCGTCCATCCTCGGCCTGCTTCACGGAGGCCCTCACATACACCACCGGTAAAACAAGGAGGTGGCCCTAGCTTCCCTTCTGTGGGGCTGCCGACCTCAGATGAGGGGAACCATGTCTGTCCTGTATCCCATGCCCCGCAAGCTACTGGGCTACAGACTGCATCTCACCAACATTCGGCACTGTTTTCCTTTTCCCAAAATAAAATGATATTGACCCGGCTTATTCCAACTACACTCTGGCCACTCTCTGAAATTCTTTCCTGAATAACAATCTAAGATTATTTTCTGATGTATTAAAAAAAAAATCGCTGTTCTAAGCCACCCAGGGCAGAGCTGTTCTTTCTTTCTCTGAAGATTGCCAGGATGGTGGCAATAAGCTGACGTTTACTGAGTGCTTACTATGTGCCAGGCACTGCACTCCAACCTCACATGGACTATCTCATTTAATCCTCACAAGTGCCCTCTGAGACCAATGTCACTATCATCCCCATTTTACAGACGAGTAAAGTAACATAGAAAGGCTCGGGGCAATGCCCCTATGGCAACTCAAATGGCGCCACTATAGCTGATAGCAGAGCAGGCCCACAGCAAGCACCCTCCCCTACCACCTCCAGGACACTCCCTGACTAACGCAGGCTCTAAGTCCCCTGCTCCATGTAACAGCGTGGGGAACACGTATCCTCCCATGGACAGTGTCACCGCTGCGTGAGAGGGCAGACTGGATGATGTCGGAGCAGCCTTCCAGCTGACCTACCCTTGACACACCCCCTCATGAGAAGTGCTGGCACAGCCCCACTGCCTCTTCCCTAGGACTGTGCTCACTCCTGTCCCCTTTTGCTCAAAGGCTCTTCCTATTTTATTTTCCACTCCTCCACCTGATGGCCCACCAGACTGCTAAGGCTGCCTTACATGTTCTGTGGTGGTGGTTTTGGAGAGAGAGGGAGAGGGAGAGAGTGAAACATTGATCAGCTGCCTCCTGCACACCCCCCAGCATGTGCCCTGACTAGGAATCAAATCAACAACCTTTTGGTGCACATGACGATGCCCGACCGAGCCACACTGGCCAGGGTTGCCTTAATACTTTTTAAAGTGAGTAAGCTCATCGGTCCTGCTGCTTCCCTGCCTCTCAGGACCCCTATGGCGCTGCTGGGCTCCTCCACACCAGGGGAAGCTCCTGAGCTTCACAGAATCCCACCTAGACCAGACCAGGCTGTAGCATGCTGCAAGGACACCCGACAGCTAAATCCAAGTTGCACGTGCATGGGGCTGCCACATAACCTAACTCCCTAAGACAGGGTCTCACACTCCCTTCTTCACTGCCCCAGGCCTACCATCTGGAGGCATAGCTCCTGTCCAGCCCTGGTCTGCCAAGTGCCATGCTGAGCCTTTCCCAGCCACTGCTTAACTTCCCTGGACCTCAATTTCCTTACCTGTAAAATGGGGAGAAGTACAGCACCTGCCTCATAGGGCCATTGTGAAGATTAAATGAAACAATGTGTGTAAAGCACTTACCACAGTGCCTGATAACCAGTAAGCACCCCCCACACCCCAGCCTTCAAGAACTACTTATACCTCCATCTCACAGCCAATCCTCTTACCGGCTGGCTCTCAGCCTCACCTAGGGCAGATCCGTTTTTGTTTTCTCAGAAGGATTAGCTAAAATCTTTCCATTCTAAAGCCTGCATTGCTTAGTTTACTGAATTCTGGTCCCAACCAACCCCAGCCCCCACAATTTGGTCACAAGACAGAGCCTCAAGTCAATCCAACAAACATGTGCTGAGCCTGTCCTGTGCAAGGCACAGCTTTCCTCCTCCTGCCCCCGGCTCATACCCAGACTTCGCCTCCATGCCCATCCACCCCTGTGCTGCAGGCACAGCCCAGGCCCGCGCGCTCGGCCAGCACTGGGGGGATCGGCTCTCCGGCCTTAGGGAGAGGGTGAGCGCAAGGACCAGGTCAAAAACAAGAAGCTTGAGGCCTTTTTATTGATAATTCTCCATATACACAGAAGTCCTTTAGTTCCTCTCCAGTGTAATAAAGCACAGGGTACTTAACGCTCATCTCTGAACAGGACAAAGGAGCCTGAGGAAGGGGGACACCAAGGCCTGCCTGGTTCCCCAGGGACTTGCCCCTCACTGGCCTGGAGCAGGCCCCTGTCTTCCCAGCCCAGGCTAGACTGTTGGCCTGGCGAGAAAGCTGGTCTAGAATGGTCCTTGCCTCCCCAACCTGCCTCCTGGGTCCCTGCTTAGGGTGTAGGAACATCTCCACCTCTTATGGGCTCTGAGTCCCAGGACTCCAGGGAAGCATCCTAGGGCCAAAGTCCCCATCCTCAGCCCATTGCCTGTGCCATGTTCCCAGGAACCAGGAAATAAATAAATAAATACTTCAAAAAAGCAGGGCAGCTCCAGGGGAGGGAAGGGGTGCCTGAGCCCGCTCATGGCTTAGAGAGACACAAAGCCCAGAGAGCACATAAATGCATGTGAAACTGCTGGAGAGAGGGTGGGAACCCTAAGTGGCCTTGTCCCATAACTAAGGCTGTTTTGCTGGAGAACAGCCTGGAACCTAGGACCCAGCTCGGCAAGATCACACGCTTCCCAGGCCCCCGAGGGTCAAGGGCTCAGGACCTCTGCTCCGGTCTCACACTACATGGGACGAGGTGCTGGGGAGGGGAAATGCAGCTCTGAGCCAGAGGAGGGGTGCCCAAGGCTCTGAGCAGTGGGAGCAGAAGTGATCGGAGTGCCTGGCATCTACCCACCAGGGCTGAGGGCAGCTGTGAGCTGAGATTCTGCACGTCAAGATTTCTGCAACGTGGGGCTGAGGTCCTTTGAGCTGCTGGGACTCCTACGTTTTGCTCTGATTAATACAAGGACTCTGCCAGGCCCTCCTACTCACAGCCTCCTCTGGGGGAACTTCGGAACTTCAACCCTGTTTCTAGAAACACTTTTGGTCATGTTAGCCTAAAAGTGTTGGTGGGCAAATAATAAGATCCTGGTGCCTGGAGGGACATTCACACAGCAGAGCTGGGGCATGGCACTCCCAAGCCTGCGCAGACTCTTGAGGCAAACGTCTTGGCCCAGGACCCCACGGGAGGAGGAATCTCTTTTCCCAGTTTCTGATCTCCGGTCTCAGAGTATTCCCAGCTTTGGAGAGCCTCCCTGATCCTCAGAGACCCCAATGGAGACCAGGAGTGGCTCTCTTCTGCCCTCTAGCTTATATTCCCTGCCCAGGCCAAAGTCCACTAACAGCCCAGGACAGAGCAAGGCAAACATATCAGACCCCCTAGGGGCTCCTCTCCCCTCTGTTGACCATCTGCAGGAGTGGGGAACAGCTCCAGAACCCAGCTGGAGACAGCAAGGGCAGAGAAGGGAAGCCTACCTAGCATTCGGGCCACATTTGCCCAGCACACGCCACACAGGGCTAGGGGTAGGGAGAGTGGGGTCTACTGCTGCTCGCCCAGGGACTGGCGCTTGCTCGGATCCTGTCCCCTCTTCTCACTTGTTCAAGGTCTGGTTACACGAAGCACACACAAACACAGTCTCTCTCTGGGCTTCAGGGGCTGAAAAGGGAGAAGAACTTGGTGAGATGCTACCTCATGCCCTTTGGCTCATGACCCCAACTACCAGAACCACCTCCCCAGCCCCCAAAGCCCCACAGACCACCCACTGCTCAGCCCACACCCTTGCCAACCCAACTCACTAGCCTGCCCTTGGAGACATCTTTTTATGGGAACCAGGGACTTTGGGGGTGACGATGCCAACAGCAGGCCTCTCCCAGGTGTTCTATGCATTAGAAATTATTTTGCCACCAACTCAACACCTTTAAAAATGTTTTTTAAACGAAGAGCCAGAAGAAAAATTTCCAAGATGTTTTAACAGTGGTTTTCTCAGGGTGATAAGATTACAGATTTATTTTTCTCTTCCTACTTCTTCTGTATGGTATTTCCAAAACTTCCAGTATAAGCACATGCTACTTGCATGACCGGAAGGAAAGACAAAAACCCTTGATTCCTCATATTACAAGGAACTGTGTGAAACAGGCTCCCTTTCTAGAGTGTGCATATGCGTTTATCCTATGTGCATGTGGAGCTCCGCCTTCTGCTCATCTGTATGTTGTTTTGTTTACAATGATAATCTACAGCTTTTATAGAAGGAAAAGGCATTCTTCTTTATTTTATCAGAAGTATTACCAAGGCAATGAGGAAATGAATGAAATTCAGGATGGTGGTCTCTGGGGAAGGCAGGCGTGGCGTTGGGAGCCCAGTGGTGTGGCTAACGCTGCTTTAACTTTGAAGTGTTTTAACTTCAAAGAAGCCGTCACAGTCATTCATTATCACCCATCATAATTTTGATAGATCATATATATTCTTTTGTGTTTTTTATTGTTAAAGGTGATGGAGGAGATGTTACTACGGGCCAGACCAGGATCCCAAGTTCCCTTGACCTATCACTGACCCCTCACTCCTATCCCACAGGCAGCACCCTTCAGAGGTGGGAACAACCACGCCCTCGCCCTGCCCTGCCCCTCAGCCGCCTGCACCACTCACCTGTGGCCCCCATGGAAGACTTGGGCACCTTGAAGGAGCAGCACCGGGAGCAGAAGCTATTCCCACAGTTACTGCAGCTCCGCTGCCAACAAGAGCCAAGGTCAGTATGTGACCCATCCCCAGCCCCAGGCACCCGGAGCCCTCAGCACCCCCTCCTGCCCACCCACAGATCCCACCCAAGGAACCTGGGACATCTGTGGACTGGGGAGGTGCCCAGATGGGGCAGGACTGAGACCCAACAGGGAACCCTCAAGGAGACTTACCCTCTTCTTCAGCACTGAGAAGGTGGCCGAGCAGCCTGTACAGCTCCCTGAGAAAGAGGCAGCAGCTCAGCCTTGAGCCTCTCAACTCTCACCTGCTCCTGAGTCTTCCAAATGGGGACTCAGGACACCAGCCCAGACTCCTTGGCTGGGAGCAGTGAGTAAGGGAGCACAGTCCAGATCCAGAGACAGAAGGAAGGGAGACTACAGAGCTGCCAGTCCCTATACCCTCCTGGGGCTTAGAGGCCCCACCTGCAGGCTCAGCCGAAATAGAGGAGCACCCAGCAGAATGTGGCCCCTGGAAACCACCCGAAGCTGACAGGGTCACCACCCTCTCTGTGGTCCAGGGTGGCACTTCTGGAACCCAGTTCCTTATCTTCCCACAAGCTCAATAAGGACAGGGGAATAAGAAGTAACCCACACTCACTCAACAATCCCACTATGTGGGTCCCATGGACACCGCAGTACCCCTCACTCTCGTCACAAACCCATACCCACAATTCCAAGACTTGGGCCCTGTGGCCACGGTGCCCCTCCCTGTCCCTGTCCCGACTGTACCGAAGTTGTTGGTGGGGTACCGCTTGCGGAGCCGCTCTGTGAGCCGCGACACCTTGCTGCGCAGCACTTCATTCTTGCTCAGGAACCCGTTGTCGTGCAGGGCCAGCTCGTCCTCTACCGGGCACGGGGCACCCTCATCCTCCTCCTGTAGGAACAGCTCCTTCCAGTCCCGCCCACCTTGTGGCAGGGCTCCAGGGCCTGCATGCAGAGGCACCCAGCACAGCAGACCCCACGAGGTGTGGTGACGGTGGCCACCCTCCCCCTGCCTGGCCCCCGCCCACCTCATCAAGGCTCCTACTTACCAGCACCACCAAGTGGGTCTCCTGCTTCCCGAGGTGCAGGGGAGAAGAAGAAAACAAGGAGAGAGACAGCAGGAAGGAAGTTGCTATGAGGCAGTCCCCAGCAAAAGGAAACACTCAAGTGTTACTCTGAGTTCTGTCCAAGCAAGTCCCAAAGGGTGACATTAACAGAGGCCCCCATAAAAGGACCCCAGCATCAAATAAGCTTGGGAGGAGCTGTGTCCTGTTTTTCAAACTGGGTGAGACTGATCAAGTGGGTCATTCTTTTAACAGAATAGAACAGAACGGGAAAGAAAAGATCCCTTATGATGCATTTGTTAGGAAACTTGTTTCAGTTAAGCTTTATCCATATTATAAACATAAGTGTGAACTGGGCCAAGATGTGCGTGTGTTTCTTACTGTGGGTTATAAACAGAAATGCTTGAAAGCACCACCATCCAGATTCAGAGTCTACAATCGTGTATGAAAGCCTCAGAGAAATCTTTCAGTGGCTGAAAAGTAAATGGACCGGACTGATGTAAAAGTGAATGGGCTAGGTGAAAACACCCAAGACCCCATTTCTTATGTCTCAATTTTCCCACTTTAAAAGAGAAATTATTTCCTCCTGTAAGAAAACAATAGCGCAAATGTAACAGAATGACAGCTGCCACTAGGACTCAGTGACCAGGGAACATGAGGAGGGGTGGGGAGGGACTGTGTGACTTTCTAAGGGGGACGGTCACTCCTCAGCTACATGGGCCACTGCAGACTCAGGGCTGCTTAAAAATTGAGAATCCAGTTTTCACTGAAATCTCCCCATTTTTAAATACTGGCTCAAAAAATATAAGGTTTGTATGCCAAATAAAACACTATAAACTATCAGCTTGAACTACTGGGTTCCAGAAGTGCCACCCTGGACCACAAAGAGGGTCTTAAAATCAGAAAAACTGTTTAACTTTCTCTGACCTAGAACTTGGCCATGCAACCACTTTCTCCAATCTCCTCTCCCTGCCCCCCAAAGGGGCATCTCTCAGCCCTCATTCTGCCTAAGAGTAGTTGGGGACCAGGCAGTGCCCTCCCCCAAATCTGCCTTCCCCACACCAAAGGTGCCAAGTCCACAACTGCAGCCAGTCCCCAGCAGGGCATTCCCAGAGGCTTCCAGAGCCATCCCTGCCCTGGGCAGCCGGGACAGGTCACTAGATCAGCAACAGGACAGGCACAAGTTCAGTGGCCCCCTTCACCCACTGAGTTTGAGCTCATAGCAAGTTTCAGGTTCTCACTTGGATATAAGAGAATTTAAGAACTCAGACTTGGGATGTGAGGAGCCACATAGCTCCAGGACCACCCAATTTCTGGCCTGGTCAGTAGAGGGTGCTGGGGAAAGGGCCACCCACCTCAATCGCATCTTTAAATTCCTCATCAGGCTCAGCCTCCTCGGCCTCCTCCACGCTGCCTGGCGTGAGGTCCTGGGAAGAGAGATTTTATTGAGAAGGAGAGGAGTCGCAACCTGGCACCTAAGGCAGAGGCCACCTCCCCTGAGCCAGCATTCAGGTTTCCCAAACTTCTATTCCTGCCCCGGAGGAAATGGCACAACTGCAAGAAAGAAGGAAGTCATGGGAAAGAGGCGCTCTCTGACCTAGCGGGGACAGGGAGATGGGACCAAGACCAGGGTGGACCTGTGGGGGCTTCAGCACAGGGGTTGAGAGCATGGACTCTGGAACCACAGGGCCACCTGAATCTTGGCAACACCACCCTCCAGCAACCACTGTGCCTCAGCCTTCTCCTCTGCAAAGAACACAATCTCATCCCCAGAAATAGCCTACACCTCATGGGGTTAATATCTATAAAGTGCTTGGAACAGCAGAGTAACTACTCAGTAAAGCACAGAGTAGCTATTATTATTACAATTATTACTATCAAGCACTTCAGAGGGGATGAGGTCTAGGGAGAAACAGGAACTACATAGAGGCCAGCCCAGAAGCTATGTGCTACGAACAAGCTGGTAATAGGAAGGTGCCGGAATGTGCCCACAGCAGGATCTGCCCTGACGGTGGGGGACGCTCACCTCTGTGGGTGTGGGCGTAGGCGTGCAGTCTGGCAGAACGCCCTTCCCTCCAGCATCCGGGGACGGTGGGCTCTGGAAGGTACCCTCTTCCTGGCTGGATTTCATCCGCCGCTGCAGACATGCCCTGTACTCAGACACCACTACTCAGGGCAACAAGAGTGGGATGGGAGGCAGAAACAGGATGGAATGAGTGGTGCTTTGGGGGTATCCATTTCTGCTGCTGGCTGCCTCTTCCTCCAGTATCCCACTCTTGCTGCAGGAAAGAGTCACCCTCCTAATTCCAAACAAGTCACCTAACCTAACCTCATAAAAAAAAAGCAGAGATACCACCACCCACCCTATGAGATTACTGTAAAGAGACTAAACATAGTAAGTGCTTGATAAATTAGGGATTCTGTAATTAATTACCCAACCACACCAAGTAAAATAAATATAGCAATCAGCCAAACATATGTAAAGGCCCAAGCGTCTATGACTCAGGGCCTCTCCAGCCTGCCTCATTGCTTTAGAAGCCAGACGGCACACAGGGACTTTGGGATCACACAGAGATGTGGCAGCAACTCCAGGGGGCTGTGTGCTGGAAATCAGGTGGCAGCACTGGGAAAACATCCCTCCCTCACCTCCCAGAAGCCACATATCACCTAAGCAGTGATTCACCTGCTTCAGAAAGGCAGAGGGACCCCTACTTTTGCAGCCTCCCCTGTGTCCCACCGAACATCTCAGAGAAGCAGAGCCAAGGGAAGCCCGCCTAATGTGGTGCTGCCCCCTTGTGGAAAGAATAGCAAATAGATGATCAGCGATAGAGACAAGCAAGGAGCCCATCTGTCAGGCTCTCCAGGGCTTACCTCGGAAGAACTCCACGTGGCAGCAGATACAGCATGCAAACTGTGGCCAGGAGAGCTCCGTAGAACCTGGATTGACAGAGGAACCACAGGATTAGAAATTCCTAAGACCAGAGGAAACCATTTGGAGCACCCCGCATAGGCCTCGGGCAAGAAATAGCACTGAGCAGTTAATAAACTGACAAGATCTGCTGATCAAACAAGTGGACAATAAAGCAAAGTGGAAGGCTTGACAACCACCACCAAGTCACTGGTTGCTAACAATGGATACTGGTGAGGCCGTCGCAATGGCTGAGGCTGGGCCACGTATACTGGTTCAACGCTCATCACTCCGCAGGCTCTAGACTCTGAAGTCTAGAATAAGACAAACTTGGCTTTGCACCCAGCTTTGCCATTTCTTGCTTTGTGCCCTTAGGCAAGTCCCTTGGTTTTTCTGAGTGTCACTTCCTGCACAGGTCAAGTGGGGATTAAAATAGTGCCTGCCTCCTAGAGTTATTATGAAGAGTAAGACAATACATGGCAGGTATTGAGCACAGGGCCTGGCACAAGGGGGAAACTAAATAACTATTAGTTGTCATTATTATTTATAATGTAAATAAGTAGTTCCATCCTTGAATTTATTCTAAGAAAATATTTTCAAAAGCTAAACCCATACAAATGTTCACTACAGGGTTAGTAATAAAAGTAAAACTGACTAAATGTAGAATAGAATGGTTCCATATATCATAGCATATGCACCCTCAATATTAATCTGGTATTACAATAATTCCAAAAGTCATATGGCAACAAAGAAAATCACTGATGATATATAATGGTAAGTGAAAAAGAAAAAAAAGGGACTCTCACATACGTTATGAAACTATAGAGTATATATGCACATGACCAACTCTAGAAGTCGATCTAAACATGATATCAGCCGTTATATCAGGGTGGGAGACGGCATAGTGCAGTGATGGCGAACCTTTTGAGCTCGGCATGTCAGCATTTTGAAAAACCCTAACTTAACTCTGGTGCCGTGTCACATATAGAAATTTTTTGATATTTGCAACCATAGTAAAACAAAGACTTATATTTTTGATATTTATTTTATATATTTAAATGCCATTTAACAAAGAAAAATCAACCAAAAAAATGAGTTCGCGTGTCACCTCTGACACGCGTGTCATAGGTTCGCCATCACTGACACAGTGATTTTTCTGTTATTAAAATATATTACCATACACAAAGCAGTGCATTCCCACCTGCAAGCCTCTCTTCCCCTGAGTTAGGGGCCCTGGGGCCCTCAAGGCAGCTGGCTTTGCCTGGGGCTCAAGTTACAAATTCCTCCAGGGCAGTGGGAGTGGGAGTGGGAGCAGAGGGGCACTCACTGTGAGGACACGGTGGGGTTCTCCCAGCGCAGCACCCGGTAGGCGGCTTCACAGGTGCAGCACAGGCGGCGCAGGAAGGCCTCCAGCTGGATCAAGCTGCAGACACAAGGGGCGTCTAAGAGCCGCACGCCCGGCCCCACTCACCCAAGGGGCCTGACAGAGCTCTGGGGCTGCAGAGACTGGGACTTCACAGGCACAGCTGCTAGGGATGGCCAGTCTCTTCAAACCCGCGGGAGGGGCCGGAGAGCTCAGGAGAACATTCATACATTTCAGTCCCCTTTTTGGAATCCCTGCTGAGGTGGAAATAGGACAAAGGTTCCTGCTCTGGCCTCTTTCTAACTATTGCTATGAGGCCAGTTACTTACCTTTACTTAAGAGGGCCGCCGTTTTCCTCTATAAAATGAGGAGCGGGGTACCCACCTCAGATACTCTAGAGCTGTGAGGATAAATGACAGGAGGTAGACAGATCAATGTGCCTCCACCTGGTGTGTAAGGCAGACTCACTTGGAGAGCTTTTTTTAATGGATGCACCACAGAAGCAATGAGCACAAGCTGAGGTTTCCGAAGGGCTCCTGGGGAAAATGGCTGATTCTAGAGCCAGGGCAGGGAAAGTATAAGATAAATTTGAACATCATTTAGTCCCATAAAGGAAGCACTCAAAAAAGATGGGGGCATATCAAAAGAACACAGAAGCCAGTTCAAAAGAGACCCTACTGGCCAAATCTAGGACAATTTGAGATCAAAATCTGTAACAGTAATACATTATAAGCCATTAAATTAAGTTTAAAAATCTTGAGTTCATATTGATAATAAGTAAGAATTACAGTAGAATGCCAGCTAATAATGACAATTACAAAATCACCTTTGCAATCATCATAAGAATAAACTGGTGAAGGCAAGACTCATCAATGGATTTAAAAGTAGGTAAATATTTGATAAGGAACAAGGCATTTACTTGTGTACCCCCCTCAGATTACTAACTCTAAAGAGTGAAAGGGTCATCTTACCATGGAGAAACCTTAACCAAGGGATCAAAGATACTACCTCCCATAACAAGACAAACTGACATCACGTATCTCCTGACACAACGCATTGACAATGACATGCCACTTGTCATTTCCTGCCAACAATGCACAACCTGAATCTAATCATGAGGAACTAGGTAACCCCAAACTGAGGAAAATACCACAAAATAATAAGTTTGTTCTATTAAAAAGTGTCAAGGTCTTGAGAAACAGAAGTCTCTGAGGAACTACTACAGGTTACAGGAGACTAAAGAGACATAAAAATAAATGCAATGTGTGATTCTGGATTGGATCCTGGATTAGGAGAAATTTATATAAAAGACCTTATTAATACAAGCGGTAAAATCTGATTATGAACTCTGTATTAAACAATAATACTAATGTTAATGTTATCAATGTAAATATCCCTAATTTTGATTACAGGACTGTGGCTACATAAGAAAATGTCCTTGGCCCAACCAGTGTGGCTCAGTGGTTGAGCATCAACCTATGAACCAGGAGATCACGGTTCAATTCCTGGTCAGGGCACATGCCTGGGCTGTGGGCTCAAACCCCAGTAGGAGGTATGCAGGAGGCAGCTGATCAATGATCCTTTCTCATTATTGATGTTTGTCCCTCTCTCCCTCTCACTTCCTCTCTCTGAAGCCAATGGAAACATATTTTTTTTAAAAAGAGAGAATGTCCTTGTTCTTAGAAAATACACGCTGAAGTATCTGGGTAACAGGCATGATGTTTGCAACTTACTTTCAAATGGTTCAGGAAGAAAAAATAGTGTAAAGAGAGACAGATGCAGCCAATGTGGCAAAATGTTGATAATTATTCTGAGTAAAGGGCACATGAGAGTTCTTTGTATTATTCTTGCAACTCTTCTGTTAGTTTTTGTTTGTTTTGTCTTTTTACTTTCACAACCTCATTTTAATTAGTCATATATGGGCTTACTAACTACAATCTATACCCTAATGAAGACTGAACTATACATTCCAGTTGACTTTAGGTTAAAATCATTTCAAAGTAAAAGATTAAAAAAAAACAGATATTCAAACCCCACTCCAGATAACTCAGACTTTCGGGGGGTGGAGGAGAGGGGCTCTGTTTATAACTGTTCTTTGGCTGCCCAGGGAGGGATGAGGACCCTGCTGTATGTCAAGAGAGCCTAGTTGAGGAAGGGCGCACCAAATGGCAGCTGCCACTGAAGTGATGTTAATATTATGCACCAGGCTTACGGTGCTTCTTCAGCAGTGCCAGCTCTGTCACATCTAAGAAGTGTCTCCATAGTGCAGTGAACACGACTAATATTTACTGAATGCCTCCTGGGTACGAGACACTCATTTAATCTGCACAGCCACCTATGAGGTAAGATATTATTATCTTCTTTAACAGATGAAGCAGCTGAGGCACAGGAAAGCTAAGCAACCTGCCCAGTGTCACACACCAAGTCAATGTAAGAGCTAGGATTGGAACACGGCTGTGGCTCCTGCATGCACACGCTAAGTCAAGACCCTAAACCAGCGGTTCTCAACCGCTGTGGGTCATGACCCCTTTGGGGGTCGAACGACCCTTTCACAGGGGTCACCTAAGACCATCGGAAAACACATATTGAATATATAATTACATATTGTTTTTGTGATTAATCACTATGCTTTATGTTCAATTTGTAACAATGAAAATACAGTTATGAAGTAGCAACGAAAATAATTTTATGGTTGGGGGTCACCACAACATGAGGAACTGTATTAAAGGGTCGTGGCATTAGGAAGGTTGAGAACCACTGCCCTAAACTCTCTCGAGTGGAGAGAAAACAAGCTGTGAAACCTGCTGTATCTGGATTCTCATCCCAACTCTGCCCATTTCTAGCTGTGAAAGCCCCTTTCCTCACCCATAAATGAAGGATAATAATAGTAGCTACCTCCCAGAACTATTAAAAAGATGAAAAGAAATGGACATCTGTGGTTTGCCTAATACAATGCCTGGCACACGCAGTGTGGTGGGAGGTGTGACTGTGACTGTCCCTCACCTCCCTGGCTCCTTCCATACTCACAAGCACTTCACCTCGGCCACAGCCTCGGGGCGAGACAGGCGAACTCTCTGCAGGTCCTCCTGCCTCACGCTATGATACTTCCTCCGCATGAGCTCAGACTCCGGCAGCCGTGCCCGGCAGACCTCCTGCAGGTAGCCCAGAAGGGCGGGCACTGAAATCACCAAGGCACCCACTGAGTACCACGCACCTGTGGGATCAATAATACTGTAGGTAAACAGGTAGCAAGGTCAGGCATTTCACCCACCCACATGTCCACATGCTTGCTCCCTCACCTCCTCCAGAGCTCTGCCCAAGAGGCCTTCTCTGATCACTCCACAGAAAACAGTGTCTCCCCCATCACTCTCCAGCCCCTTGCCCCAGCTTTATTTTACTTCACAGAACGTATGGTTGTTGTCTCTTTCACAAACGTAGACTCTTAAGGGCTGGGCCTTTGTCTGTCTAGTCACTGCTGTGGCATCAAACGCATGTTTTTAATATTAAGAAACCTACACTAGCATACAATAGGTGGCTCATGCCTGGAGTGGCCTCTGGGGCTTCCCGAGGACTGACATTCTGACCGTTGGACCACTGGGGCAGATTGGAAACCTTCCCTTTGCCTTTTAGGATATCCCAGACCACCGTGGACTGAAAAATGGTAAGGCTGAGAGAAAATCCAAAGGAACTCTGGTACCCTGGAGGCAGGCTAATAGAGCACTCGCTGGGCACAGAGTAAATGCTAAATATCTCTTCTATGAACTAATTTACTTTGGAAATACGTTCGGAAAAACCTAACAGCCTGGGAATGCTATCTGAGTTCAATCAGGCAAAGAGCCCCACTGAGAAGCAACAGGAAGCCTTATGTGAAATGGGTTTATTTTCAACCCACTGAGTCCATCTCTCCATAGAAAACCAAGGAGACACTTGAGAAATGTGGGTTCAACAGAAGAAGGAATACGTGAGTCAAGGACCCAGCTCCTCCGAACAACCCACGTCCTCCATTCATTTCCCCTGAGGGTTCAGCTGTTTTGTTGTTTTGGGTTTTCTTGCAACCATCTGCCAGTTTCAACAAGAAAAAGAGCTGGGTCACAGCCCACCTTGCCATAACAGTTCCCCAGGAGACATCACTACCCAGGACCCATACTGCCACCCACCTGTCCACACATCTACCTCAAAGGCATCACACTAGACTCCTTACTGGTGGTGACTGTCCAGCAACCCCTGCTGGGCTCATTTGCTGAGCCACAGAAAATCAACAGATGTGGCAAAAACCCTCCTCAGCTTACCTTTCTGTCCCCTCACCCCATCTCATGCCCCAAATGACCCCAGAATCAGCTTGGAAGCCAAAATGGAAAAAGCATTCAGTCAAAAAGGAAACAATAATAATGACACAGAAGACCCCCTGACCTGCAGGGAATATAATCCATGTCCCCCAGTGGATACCTAAAACCGTGGATAGTACTGAATCCTACATAAACTGTTTTTTTCTATACATACATACCTATGATAAAGTTTAATTTATAAATTAGGCAATTTCACAGACAGAAGATTCCTTCTTCCTGTAGAGCTTACCAACCTCAGCATACTTGATTTTCTTAAGTCAAGAACTTTCACCTTTTCACTTACAGGAAGTACTTTACAGTTTCTCTCTGGCATATCGAAACTGCCAGCACCACTACTCTTGTGATTTGGAGCCTTTATTTAGTAAAAAAGAGTGTTACTTGAACACAAGCACGGCAGTACCATGCCAGTCAAACTGATAACCAAGAGGTCTGCTAGGTGACAGGTAGCATATACAGAGTGGATACACTGCACAGGGATGATTCTCATCCCCGGAGGGACAGAGAGATTCCATCAGGCTACTCAGACTGGCACTCAATTTAAAACATATAAATTGCTTATTTCTGGAATTTTCTATTTAATATATTTGAAAATATTTTTAAAGCCTAAGCTAGCACACAGTAGGTTGACAGTGGACAACTGAAACCATAGAACACACAACCGTGGCTAAGGGCGGACTACTGTCAGGTACTGGCTGCTTACTCTGTCAGGCACTGAGCTAAGTGTTATACACAGATCCCCTCATTCCCTACAACTACCCTCTGTGGAAAGCACTGTTATTATCTTCCCTTTCGACGTGAGGAAAATTAGGTATTAGGGCACCCCCAACCCAGCCAGGATTCTAGCCCAGAACGTGTCTCTCCAGAACCTGTGTTCTGACAGCATGCAGACACAGAGAAAGGCCAGCTCCAGGGCAAGACCAATGGCCCCTTCACATGGGGCTGCTGTTCGGAATTCTTCCCCACATTCATTCACACACAAAAGCCCGGCCCCTGGAAGCAGTTCTTACCCTCATTCAAGGTGAGGAACAAGACGTTGAGGCCCAGGCAGGTCAGCAAGGAACACAAAGGCGTCTGCCACCTACAACACAGAGAGTTCTAGTCACTAAAGACCAGCCAGATGCTCCTCCAGGTGGGAAGGGGGGGTGAGCCAGCACAGGTGAGTCATTAAAACCAGGAGCAAGAGGAGGGGGCCTGAGCTCAGCGTGTCAAGGAGAAATGAAAACTGGGTCTCATCTGGACAGGTGACTGGGAGAGGAGTTAAAGTCACATATTAGGCCCTGGGGTGAGAAAAGGTATCCTCTTAGAACTAGAAGACCTGTAGCACTTTCTCGAAGGAAGAGGAAACATTCATAACATTAACTACTAAGAAACCTAGTGAAGAGCAGTACACTCTCCCATTCTTCCTAAGACTGCATTCCCTTGGCTGGAGCTGAAACACCAAAGATGCCTGACTGGAGCAGAGCAGAGCAAACCATCGGGGAGCAGGCAGAGCTGCCTAGCCAGAGAGGAGCCTGGCCCCCAGGCCGCCTCACAGCCTGCTGTTTTCATAGCCAGTGCTGTGTTACAATCGAGCTGTTTTGCACTGAATCAAGTTTCCTTCTTCACTGAACCCCAAATTGGAGATTCATGTTAGCACTGAATTGATGCCAACAACCATCTGTTGACAGTTGTTTGTGCACATTCACCCAACCCCCTGGGGCACTCAAAAAAAAAAAAAGGAAAGAAACCTAGTTAATACCAGTTAACCTGTGTTTTGAAAGGTTCTATGGTTCTATTCTCTTTAAAAGGTGATAATGACAAACATTCTTTAAAATTTTCCTTTATTTTATTGAGATATAATTTACATATAGCATTCTTTTTTACAGTTTCATAGAACATATATTCACTGCACAAGAGTCATCTAATCCAGAAATCAAGAGAACAAAATATAAAGGATTTCTTTGACCCCATTTGTAACTTTCGCTATTTCTGCAATTTTGAGTTTATTTTATACATATGTTATTTCAAAAAGAGAAAAATATCTTAACATATTAAAAAATGAAGACATGCCGAAACCGGTTTGGCTCAATGGATGGAGCATCGGCCTGTGGACTGAAAGGTCCCAGGTTCGATTCTGGTCAAGGGCATGTACCTGGGTTGCGGGCACATCCCCAGTAAGAATTCTCAGCAAACAGGCCCTAAATAAACAGGAACAGATGGAAGCAAACACAGGCCTAACTCCCACCATCATCACCTAATGGCAAAGCAGAGGCCTCCAAAGAGGGAAGAAAGACCAGAGACTCAGGCTGCTGAAGACAAGCAAACACTGCTGGCTTAGTCCCTGATAAAAGACATTTAATAGGGAAAAAGGAGCACAGATGTAGCAATGAAGCTACTGCCTCCTATAGTCTAAAGAGCAGCATCAGCCAGGCCGGCATGACTCAAAAGTTGAGCGTCAAACTGTGAACCAAGAGGTCGCAGTTTGATTCCCGCTCAGGGCAGGCAGGCCAGGAATCGCCAGTGGGAGGCATGCAGGAGGCAGCCGATCAAAAATTCTCTCTCAACATTGATGTTTCTCTCTCTCTCTCTTCTTTCCTCTCCGAAATCAATAAAAATATATTGTAAAAAAAATAAAGAGCAGCATCAGCATATTTAAGGTCATCCATCAGAGGAGAAAGACAAACAGAAAAATAAACAGGTAAGTTACTGACAAGCAATGTATTCAGAACTTAAGTGTTTTTTCTGGGGGGGGGTTGCTCTAATTTGGGTATTTCAGAGTTACTAAATGAGGTTAGCTACTTTAGGTGCTGCTTTTATTTCTTAACAGTTATAGCAAGGAAATGAATGACCTCTCTCTGCCTATTTCTTAAAATTCAAAACATTTCAACTGAACCACCCTAATTAGGCCTCCAAACCATTTAGTGGCAGCTACTAGGGTAAAAGCAGATTAAAAGCCAGGTCTAAGCCAATCCCATTTCAGAAATAAAAGCATCACACAGGCACTGAAGTCACTTTCATTTTAAAGCCTCTTCCATTCTATCTGTCTTCACTGACACTTTGGACCATCGGGACCTACCTACTGGAGTCACTGGTCCCAGAGGAGAGGAGTTGTTTTAAAAATCTACTGCAGCTGTCGGCTTCAAACCTAACAGCCACAGCTCAAGATTAGGTCCCTCTTCAAAATCAAATCCTCTTTACTAAGAACAGAACAATCAACACACACACTAATCTGACAGCCACTTTCACAGAGCAGAGCAGTCTCCCAGTGGCGCAGAGACCACAAGCTCCTGAGGGCATTTTAGGCCTCATGCTTCTCCATCCAGCTTTAATCAATCCCACCACATCCTCAGATTTCTTTTCTTGTTTTTAATATATACTTGATTTCAGAGAGGAA